ATCTAAGCTTAAAGAAAATTGACCAAAGAAAACACAAAGTTGTTCTCCACAGCCGTGTCCTGAATGTAATATTTTGGATCGATCAGAAGCTTATTGTGTTTTGCGTTCGGCTAATACGAGTACATTTATCTGTCTGAATGCCAGTTTTATATCTTTATTTATGTATTTTCGTCGAAACCATTTACAAGCCATCATCACCATTTAGCCCCTTAGTTTTTCACTTTTGGACTGTATGTCTCACTCTGTTTGTCCGTCTTGCAGTTTCCTTAATTGTCAACAAAACGAATTGGATCGGCATGTAGTTTATCTGTTTGTTTTTCATGTATATTTTTTCTGCATTCCTTTGTTTTCGTTTCTTGATGTATCCCATTGTACCTCAGGTACGCAGAGGAACACAAACCAGTTAACTATGCAATATGTCTAATTGTGGGCATGTTTGTATATTTTTTTTCCAGTATATATTTTTCCGTCTTTCCTACTATCTATGAAAAAGGACATAAAATAAAACGTTTTTCCTTTTTATTCAAAGATGTCAAATATATTTAAGATAAGATAAGATAAGAATTCTTCATTTCAGACTGCATAATCCATACATCTAATTTAAAATATGGATATAGAGTAAAACATTGTAAACATAAAAGAACATACATTTGATACGTTTCAAGGTTGAATGTGTACTAACCTGCGACGGCCAAACAACTTTAGTTAAGAACTGTGACACCTTATTTATCATTATATAATTGTAAACCAAAATAATATCTCCTAATTACCCGTTGTTTTGGTCGCCTCACGTCAATCCAGCTAAAAGATTACGACTTGTGGCCAGACTGTATCGTTTGTAATTGTCATTTAAACAAACAAGGAACTGTTCTAGCTTCTCGCGTCTCGTTCACTTTCAGGAGTTAGGCTGCCATTACGATGTTTTGATTCTTGGGTCATCCAAGCCTTAGTTAACGTACATGAATTTGTACACAAAAACATTGGTTATTTTTCTACGCCTTTGTAAAAGTCATATCAAGAATTAGGCTAATGCAACCAAACTAAATGTGGGAGATCGGGTGCATTTCAGGCTAGACTAATTTGTACAATATGATGTTCGTTGACGTGCTTCCTTCTGACATCATATCACTTAAACAATATGTTCAAATTGATTAACAAAGGCACAGATCATATCAAATGCAGTTGAATTGTTGAATTGTGTGTGTGTGTGTGTGTGTGTGTGTGTGTGTGTGTGTGTGTGTGTGTGCCACTTTCTTACCATGCGTGAGTGGACGAACTCGTTTGAGAAAGACGAAATTGAAAATATATAAACAAGTGAAAAGAAGCCATAATCATCTGGTAGATATATGGATACATAGTGCCCATTCAAATAGCACAATGAATAATAATAATAATAATAATAATAATAATAATAATAATAATAATAATAATAATAATAATAATAATAATAATAATAATAATAATAAAAAGTAATAATAATAATAATAATAATAATAACAATAATATAATAGCAGCAACAGTAGTAGTTGTTGTTGTTGTTGTTGTAGTAGTTAAACATTAACAGCTGCGAAAATTTATATTGTAGAGTTACCCATGAATAACCTCTCTGATAAGTGTATGTATATTTATTTCGTTCCCGTCCGTGAATAATCGTGTTTCCATGCGTTTATAGAATATATTCTGCGTTTAGCAGATTTGTTTTCTTGAGTGCATCATGACCCTGCCAACTCCTCCCTCGTGGGTGGGAATGATAAACAATTGTACAAATACTACAAATGTATTTGTATTTGTCCTTATTTGTACCAATACTGCAACTGTATTTGTCCTGATTTGTACCAATACTACAAATGTATTTGTATTTGTCCTGATTTGTACCAATACTACAAATGTATTTGTATTTATCCTGATTTGTACCTATACTGCAACTGTATTTGTATTTGTCCTGATTTGTACCAATACTGTAACTGTATTTGCATTTTCCCTTATGTGTACCAATACTGCAACTGTATTTGCATTTGCCCTGATTTGAACCAATTCTACAAGTGTTTGCCTTGATTTGTAACCATGCTATAAATGTATTCGTATTTGCCCTGATTTGTACCAATACTACAAATGTATTTGCCCTGATTATGACAATTTGCATCTCCTTTGATAATCAATTGAAACGCTATGATCTGCTTGAATGCTTGCATACATATACAGTGAAGTCATAAAGATTTCCTTTATATGATCTATGTTAGATTGTTTCAAGAAGACATGAAGAGTGTTTGGAATCTTTCTCTTAGCCTGGAGCATGATCTGATGTCTCATAATTGTCGAGGATAGGAGCTTCGGAGTCCAGGTTTTTAATCATGAACGTGATCTAAGATTTATACCAAACGAGCTAGGATGTCAGTCTAAATAAAATCTGAATAAACTGGTCCACAAAATATTACATATTCCAAATTCAAATGCCAGTCTCAAAATATGTTTCGTCATTCTTCCGTGTGAAAAATTTAGATATATGTCATTGTTTAATTATTAGTTAAGTAGGCATCTTATTACTTAATATTTTGTAAATTCAGTTTCGTTTTGTTAAAAAGAATTGCTTAATAAATCTATCCAACATTATCATATTGAAAATTGTCTATACCTAAAGCTAAAAATGATGCAAAATTACTTACAAGATATACAAATCCAGAATTCCCTAGGAGAGGGATCAATGATGCATACATGCATACAGATACAGCCAGACAGATGGACAGATGCAGATGTGTGTGTGTGTGTGTGTGTGTGTGTGTGTGTGTGTAAAAGTGACACGAGACTTAATCAGATTGTCACAAGACTTATGTTAGTTGTTGCATAAAAAGAAAAGGTTAATACATAACTTTTAATCTAGAACTGGCATTTTACGCGCGTGCGCGCACACATACACATACACACATCACCACCACCACCACCACCACCACAACCGGTACACCAATTTCAAGGCATGGCAGACCTAAAACTGGGATCGGCCACTCTACAATGCAAAAAGTTGACTTAGTAAGTAACAGTAACATTGACTGAGTCATGTTTTGACTAATATTCTAAATGTTTTGGTAAATTGCCAAAGATATAAGTCACCAGTGTGTGAAACAATTTATTTATCTACTCACGACTTGACAAAATATAAAGCATCACTGCGTCACTTCTTCTTTTTCAGTTTTCACCCGCTGGGCACATTGCGTATAATACGCACTCCCTTAAATTATTTCCGGGTCCGCCTCGCGTAGGTTTGTAAATAAGAGAGATATCTATCAGACAGAAATTGCAGGTTCCTCAGATATGTGTGCATAGGCAGAGAAAGGCGGGATACCTAGAAAATGGAATTAGACCAGATCTAAAGTTAAACGAAAATAGGTACCAAAATGTGTTCTTTGCACCCCCACCCCAAAATATCCAAAAGATTGCAACTAAATATTTAATTGGATGGGTACAGTTTCCTCACATTAAACATGGTCAGATATATTGAATTACAATAGCAAAATAACCCACTCACTCGCTGATAATTTTTTGGAGAACAGCATAAATATATCGGATTACAAATACATGACTATTCCAGCAGAAGTTGAGTGGCGTGAAAATTTGACACCATTCAGGTGAACAATTATGGGCATTGTGCATGTTGCAGGTATATAAGACTTAAAAGTATACCTATTCTCTTAGTATGATGAAAAGTTTGTTGTATGATGTATTTAATACATTGTTGTTGCGATCTATTTTTATTATATATATATATATATATATATATATATATATATATATATATATATATATATATATATATATATATATATATATATATATATATATATATATATATATATATATATATATCTTGCATTTGTAGAGCTCGTGGATGTTAATGGCCTTCAAACTCTCAAATGCATCAATGTTAGACATCCTTTAACAAATTAAATTTTGTTTAATTTATAATTTGTAATTCTTCGTGACACAAAGTCAAATGGACAATAAGGATGTCACAGCACGGTCGGCTTTTCTGACAATAGGCCAATTTCGTAGATTGTATGACCGCAAACGTAGCACGATCTATCACAGAACGCATTTCATTCACGAGTGTTTATGGACTCAGTGTAACAATTATTTTCAATAGATGGGTTACAATTGTTTTTCATAGATAGCACCTTCATTTGTTTGTCAGTTCTGAAGGGATATTTTTGACCTGAGCCATTAATTTGCAATCAACATTAACGTTTAAAATTCTACCGATCCAAAAATTATGAGAAAAGCAGCTATTTGGCATAAAAGCGATTGTGAATACACTCAAACAATTCCTGGATTGAATTAAGCACCGACTTGAACCCCAGTATCGATGTTATCTATGCATTTATGACTGTTTCTGCGTCAAAAATATGGTTTTCATGAGCAATTTTCACGGTCTCCTTCAAAATCATTTGGAACGGCCTCCATGTATACCATTTCTTACTCGATAAAATGATTACGTTCCGATTGAAATGAACACAATATGTATGATATACATATGGTAACCGCACATAAATATGGTAATATTCTCAAATCTAGAGACAAAAATACTTCTCAGCTACTTAAATTCACGAGAAATCCACAAAACAAATGACCGTTACCTGGAGAGAAAGGAGAATTCCACAATTGCAAAAAGATTCCAAAGTATGATCACCCTGCACATACGTTTTTAATACGAACCAGTCAGAACCAGATTGTTCGTGAAAATGTATACTAAATTTATATATGTTATTACGGATGATAAGTCGTACTTATTACGGGCAAGAAAATAAAACCATCATTATTTAAGTACACTTCACATATGCAGTGTCTCTTTACATCCAGCCACCAGATAATTTGGTCATGAAGACCATAATGTTTGAAGGTCTTTTTTTTCTCCCTTCAATTTAATACGGATTAGCACTTTAATGACTTGATTGTTGAAAATATTTGCGATTTTTAATAATCATCAACAACATATGTTGCACTATTGTATTGGCTTCTACGGTGTCCTAGTGATTAGTGAGTCCGCTTCGGGTGCTGGAGATCGAGGGTTCGAACCTCGGCCGAGTCATATCAAAAGACTTATAAAAATAGTACTAACAGCTGCCTCGCTAGGCGCTCAGAATTAAGAAATTAGTGTTAGGACTAGACAGCCTAGTGTCAAGATAATGCGACTGGGTGGGACATCATGCTATATGTGTACTGCATGATGCTCCATTGCTTGACATCAATATAAACAGCCACACTAAAGACGTGGAAGCGATATGACCGAAAAAATTATATCTTCGTTTAAATTCACACACACACACACACACACACACACACACACACACACACACACACACACACACACACTATAAGTGGATTAGATCCGTGTGTATAACTCGTATTTTGATACAATATATGTGCAGGTATATTTTGTCTTAAATTACATTGTATACAAACTTCACAAGAAAGAGATAGGCCCCATTTATTCGGCACGGACGTTTACTGTTTTCTTAGAACTCAAAGCAACTTTCCATCAACCTTGAAATGTAATAAATTTTCGTGGTCCTGACATCTTTTAAAGAAAACCGCTGACAGACACCAAACGTTACATTCACATTTAATCTTTGTCCATAAAGTCGTAGTATTAATTATAGTTTCACATTCTAGTCTTAACAACAACAACAAAAAATCTTCAAAATAAAATGAGATATAGTATATCAGTTCTGCAGACAAGAAAAGAATTCTATCTGGTCTCATTTGTTCTGCAACAAAAAAAATATACCTTTTTCCTTAAATGTGTATTTCTCTTGACATTCGTCTCCTCTCTCAAACTGTAACGGCATTGCAATAGTGACTCTTTTCGAAAGTTTTCGGTTCTTTTGTATTTTGTCCACCATGGTGGCATTCGACGATCGACTCTTTTTTTTAAATTCCGATACATACATACATACATACATACATACATACATACATACATACATACATACATACATACATACATACCTACCTACCTACCTACCTACCTACCTACCTACCTACCTACCTACCTACCTACCTACATACATACATACATACATACATACATACATACATACATACATACATACCTACCTACCTACCTACCTACCTACCTACCTACCTACCTACCTACATACATACATACATACATACATACATACATACATACATACATACATACATACATACATACATACATACATACATACATACTCGTTCTAGTGGGGTGTCGTCATGAAAACGACGACATAGACTTGCCACAGTTGCTTTTATTCAGATTTATTATGACAATTATAATGAAAGCGGCCTAGTTCTTGCGACTTAACTTCAAAGCCAAGTGATCGGTATTTATCCACTCCATGCAATAAATGCAATCATTTCAACGTGCCTAGTTAGTTTCAGATTCATGCCTCCGTGAATAATTCCTTGTATACCTTACAAGTTAAATAAAGCCACAAATTTAGTTAAACCTAGGATTCTATCTAGGTACAACATGCCGATCAATGGATTATTTTCGGTTGAACTAACTTGGGTTGGAGACGGAAATACTGTTAAGATTCCCGCACGTGGCTTTAAATTTATGCTAATCCGCGCGAAGCGGCATCTTTAAGGTCTATAATGAAGCCACGGTATAGGCTGTACAAGTACAATAACTGGAACACTGGGATACAAAGCTAGATCACTTTTAATCTCAAACTCAAATATAGGTCGCATGTTGCCTTTGTGTTCAGATATTGGGGAAAAGAACTCGCCGGGGTCGAGTTAATAGGTAATTCTCTCCACTCGACGGCTTTATTTAATTTATAGTTTCAAAAACCAGTCTAAATCTTTATAGATGTATTTGCAATGGCGCGAGTTGTGTGTATTAATATCGGACAACGTATCCTGTAAGCGTCATTTAGTCCATGAGCTATAAGATATAATGTTATATTGAATATGGATGGAAATTTTAACCTAATTTTACCAGACTATTCTTGTAGGGAGGACCTCTTTCGAATAGCAAAATTGAGTGGGGCGCATGTTTTAATGTATCTTCTGTTTTAAAGATATAAAATTATTTCGCGAAATGAGATCAATATAATTTACACAATGATGTACAAATACCGTATAATCTATGGAGTGTATGACACAATCTGATTTGTGCACTAGTCTCGTGTGGGGTGGGGACGTCTTGCTGTTTTGAATCGATCACTACGGAACTTATGTATGTATGTATGTATGTATGTATGTATGTATGTATGTATGTATGTATGTATGTATGTATGTATGTATGTATGTATGTATGTATGTATGTATGTATGTATGTATGTATGTGTAATGGTTAATTAGAAGATGCAAATAAATTGTGCTGCCATGATATTTGTACGAGTTATTGCCCTTTTTTAGTTAACAAGTGTAACCTACATTTGACCTAAGGTAACTACGCTTTCAGTTCAGGTTGGATTGCTGTGGAATTTATTGTATAATATGACCATAAGCAGATTTTCTTATGTGCAGGAGGACCCATCTTTGCACGCGCTCTATTTTCAGGGAAGTTATGCACTTTTTAGTTTGCTATTGATTCATCTCCCATGGTATGGGTGGAATGCAGATGAGCTGGGTGTAGATTTGCGTGGGCAAATTGCTCACTAGGTAACTATTTTGGTTAAATTATTTTTCGATTGAGAAATAATAAATATATGGCTACTGCTAATGCAGCCATCGGTTATTTTCCCTTTACTCTAAAAACAATGCATTAATCTGGAAGCTCTTCGTTAGCATGATGTTAAGAAGAACCAGACTGCCCTTTTTAATTATTAGCGATTTGAATTTCTACAAAATCGTACATATTTGATCTTAAAAATGAGGGAACACTGAAGGATATGAAATCATGAAAAAAAAGTGGAATTTAAATTTTGGGAATATGCATCAGTGTATTATGCAATTGCTTAATCCGTCAAGATGGAGCGGGGGTGGGTGGGTGATAAGGTGAAGTGGAGTAGGGTGATGTGGGGATGGAGACATGGCGGGGGTAGAGGACAACAGTGAAATATGCATAAAGTCGTCTTTTAATATAAAGAACAACACAAATAACTCACTACCTCGAAATTTCTTTTCAATCTTTCTTATTACCGTCGATCCATGACAGCTTCGGTGTCCTGGTGGTTGGAGCGTCCGCCTCGGATGCTGGGGTCGCGGGTTTGATCCCCAGCCGAGTCATGCCAATGACTTCTAAAAATAGTACAAACAGCTGCTTCGCTAAACGCTCAGCATTAAGAGATTAGTGTTAGGACTGGTGAGACATCAATGTTACAGGTCTGCGGCATGATGCCCCAGTGCTAGACAATACGGCCACACTGCAGACATGGTAGCGATATGACTGAAAACTTGAAACCAGTCTGTAAAGATGTGTCATGTAAAAAAAAAAATCATCGCGGACTGTCTGTAATTTAATTTATTATCGTATGCACATTCAGATAAATTTTAGTTAATTGTCAAGAAACTTTTCGACTAGCCATCATACAAGATCATCAAATTATACTCGTCCACGTAGCGTTAGTTTAAAAAATGTCTTTATATACACATTTCGCATTTATGTCCGATTTGTACAGTGTTCTCACCAGCACCAGCTAGTTTGAAGCGTGCAATTTTGTAATGTCGTCTGTACTTATACATGGCACATTTCTCTTCTTCGTTTTAATTATGCTTTCCTCTAAGAAATTCCTAAGTACTTTATTCATTTTTGCGATGAATCACACGGGGATCACGAACTTATAGCACTTAAAGAAGAACCGGACCAAGCTTGGTATTTCCTCCTCTGGGACCGACGACGTTTAATTGTTGTACGTGTTCACTGGTTTTAAACAGATTACTTGATGCTATTCCCTTTTTTTTACATCATCTCCTGTTGGAATCTTATATTAGAACCAGCAATATTCTGCAAGGTATTGGGCTATTATAAGATAATACAGATTGAATCTTCAATAGTCATTTTATTTCATCGTCGTTGTCGTCGTCCTCCTCCTCCTGATTTCTTCTTCTTCTTCTTCTTCTTCTTCTTCTTCTTCTTCTTCTTCTTATTATTATTATTATTATTATTATTATTATTATTATTATTATTATTATTATTATTATTATTATTATGTTCATTACTATTTGTTTTATCCTATTTTTTATTATTATTATTATTATTATTAGTAGTAGTAGTAGTAGTAGTAGTAGTAGTAGCAGCAGTAGAAGTATTAGTATCGTTATTGTTGGCCATGCTTCTGATGAATAGTGTTATTGTAGTTGTTGCTAATACAATTGCACTGTTGTTGTCAGTGTTGTTCCTGGTGTTACCGGAAGAAAAAAAAATTAGTTGTAAACACAAGAGTGGCAAGATCTCCTTTCCTCATTAACATATCACGCCTTAAAATCTGTTTGAAGTCCTTGTTCCCGGATTTTCCCTTTTGAACGATTGATAATATCGTTGGGAAAGAAACGAAAAAAGCCTTGGCTGTAAGATTTATACGATTAATGGTAGATTGAAGTAAATGTATTTACTTATTTCACACGTCTTATAAGCCCCTTTTATGTCAAAGTTAAATTATATATATATATATATATATATATATATATATATATATATATATATATATATTATATATATATATATATATATATATATATATATATATATATATATATATATATATATATATATAATTGGAATTGTCGCCAGCGAGTCGAAAGTCAATTGCGAAAACCCCGTCGCTCGACAACTTACTTGTGAAATAGACATTACAGACTTTTAAAGGCCCCATTGACTGGACCTCTTCACATACCATTCTCTGAGCAATATCGACAAGTATTTCATTCATTCCCAGATGGATCGCACGAAAAGTCTCTTCTACCCCTTTGTAGTTCAGCTCTCTCCGATAGCTTTGTTTTAGGTTAAAAGGCTGAAGAGGGATTTACCTTTAGATAAGACATAATAACGGAGTGAACCGGCTTCGAAATGTAGTTTTCTATTTTACCCAGGGATCAATTTGTGCTGAGCACGCATTTTTAATGACTCCATACTATTACTTTATTTCTAAATGC